TATATATATATATGTATATGTATATGTATATATATATATATTTAAAGTTAGGTTAGGGGTTTTTAACACTGTATTTAATCACCGGCACTTTCAGTTACAACATTTGTGCTCAGATTGTGCTGAGCAGTAAAATCTCACTTTGTCTCCTCAGGTGTTTTTCGCCTCTGTACGTTCTGGAGGCTCCAGCCAGGTGTACTTCATGACTCTGGGCCGAAGCAACCTGCTGAGCTGGTAGAGGTCCACGGCCTGCCCTCTTTCTCCTCCTTCTCCTCATCTTCCTCATTGTCCTCCCCCTCTCTCTAACACTGGATCTCAGAAAACCACCATTGATGTCTTGTCAGCCCTCGGACAACCAAACGAGAACAAACACAGCAACCTACCAGCCGTCTGGAGCAGTCGACAGCAACGCCCTGTAGCTGCAGCCTTGCTGGGTCTGCCTGTGACGCAGAGACAGCCGGTCAAGTCGTCGGTCCCTTCCGTAAAATCCGAAGCGATGGCTTATAACGCGCATAATGAAATCAAAGGTTAATAAATGAAAGGAAGTAGTAATACTGTAAATGTGAATTCAAGAAAAGGGAGGGGCAAGCAACGTTTTGTTTCCCTCTCAGTTTTCTTGGTGCTCATCGGATGCATTGCGATGGGATAGATTTTTGTACCTCTGCATCCTTTCCCGGGTTGGTTAGTAAGCTTGAGGTCTTCTACTACTATTGCTACCGCTATTGTTCTTACTACCACTGCTACTACCTTCTGCAGGTCTGCCTCTTGTAAGGGAGTCCCCCCCTTTGCCCCATGTTCCCACCATCCGCCCCTTCTTGTGAGCATGGGGCTGGTGGGGCTCTAGAGTGTGTTGTATTAATGCTACAGTAGTGTGTGTGTGTGTGTGTGTGTGTGTGTAAATGTACTTCTGTTTGGTCCACCTACTGCTAACATGCTGGTTTGTCCAATGAGCTGGAGGCTCAGTGACAAACATGAGAAAGGGACCTAATATTGAAGGTTTTTACCACAAAGGTCAGGTTGACAGGACTCAAACATGAGGGTGTGTGCGTGCGTGTGTGTGGTTGAAGTATAGTGTTGTATCGGACAGGCGCTTTAAAAAGAAGGGGAGGGCGGAGAGAGTTGGTGTAGGTGATGGATTTCAGAATAGTATTTTTTGAATCATTATTATTCCTTGAAGATAAGTGTAACTATGTGGAGTTAAACATGTCTTTTACCTTGTTTTTTTAAATCATTCACACACATCCACCTACACAACTTGCTTGCTCTAAAACCACAGAAGTGTAAGGTGTGTCCGTATGAAAAGAATGCAATGCGGGTGTGATCCAAAATATTAAATAAAGTGTCTATGTACAAATAAAGCTTTGGGAACTTTTGTCGTGTCGGACCGGCGGCGGGGAAGCATGACGACCTGATCTTAACTCGAGAAACTTGAACTGCTGTGAATAAACAGATATAACGTGGAGAGAGGGGAAAAAATCGAGAGATAATGTAGATGAGAAAGTTTAGTACGTGTATGTGTGCGCGTGTGCCGTCAACAGTTCGGCATCGCTTCGGCAAATTTGGGTTTAAGTGGCAGAGAGGTAAACACGTGGTCGGCGGGTTTGTTTTGGCACAGGAGGCGGAGTTCCATCTTCCATTTCATGATTTCGACTCATTTCATGCTTCATTTAGAACATTTGTATGTATTCAATGCACTAAGTGTCAAGAATGTAGAAAGACTTATTACTGTGTGGTGGTCCAAGGCATGAGATGACGTTTTTGCTTTGTATCTTGTCACGAGTGATCAATCCTAGGTGTTCGGTTTTGGAGTCGAAGCTGCGGCGGCGGCAGCAGAGCCTCTGCGTCAGATGTACATATTTCGATTCCGTATTTGTTTCGCAGCCTTCGGCAATCTGTGTGTCAGAGCTGAGGAGCGTTTCTCGCGGCTTTCCCGTTCAAACGAGAACACGCGCGCCTTTATTGATTCAGCACTCAGACTCTGGATTTCAGTGTTACTGTGATGAAGTGTCTCCAAACAGGCAACACTGAGCAGAGATTTTCCCCTCAATCGGCTGTTTGTGAAGGAACTGACGAGAGAATCCCCATTTTTCTTTTTTTTTTATAGGAAGGAATAGTTTGTCTATTTTGTGCCCCTCCCTAACCCCCTCATGTCCCACTCCAGCTGTTATTGAAGTTCCCTGTATGCGAAAGACTGAGCAACAACCTTCGGCATGGACGATCTTTGCCCAGCTGGATTTTTTTCCTTCCTTTTTTGCAATGATTCTCATCGTTTGCTCACAGGAAGAGCAAGGGGAGAGTCCGATCTATGACATCATATCCAAACACACCTTTTGTCAGGACACAAACAAGCTTATCTTGGGTGTTTTCCCTCCTTGACGATAAGGTTACTGTTGGTCACTTAGTTTATGTCTCTGTATGGAGAAGCCGTTCGGGCCCCAGTGCTTTTGTCTGAGGTCTGCGTGTGCAGTAGTGCTCGGTGTGTGTCTCTTCTTGCATCAAGGCCTTGATGAGTGGCTGTATTGAATTAATGAAAATAATTTGTGGCTATTATCAATATTCTTATTGATCTAAAGAAAGAAACGAGCCGATTGAGACGAATCAGTCGTTTGCAGGCTTGTGTTGGAAAAAGTGCCAAGAGGGCAGCATTTAAAACGTGTAAACCTGTTGTTATAAGAACCACTACTTGGAAATCCTTTCTTTCAAAAAATAAAAACAACAAAAAAACATAAAAAAATCACTCGAAGCATTGTGTATTCTTAAGTTTTAGAGCTAGTTGAGAAGCTTAACAATAGTTTCTGTTGTTTCTGTAAGTCTATGTAAACGTAACTATGCGACTGCGGTGGTTTAATATTATTACACTCACCTTAGGTGGAGAAACTGTTTACAGAGGCAATGTTTTGTTACACTAATGTGCATCATGGTATTTATGTTTGAGAGCATAATGCATCTTTAGTTCTTTAACTCATACTTTCTGCTTTTTGAGCCCACTTTTTATTGGATATTTTAAATTTTTCGTTAGTTTGTATTTATTTTTCTTTGTCATTTCTCCCACCCCTGCTAACTTTTTCCACAACAAAGAACACACGTGTTGTTCATTTCAGGTATTCACACAACGCTGCTTCAACATGGAAACATTACAGTAACGTTCCTTGCAGGCTTGGACGTGAGGCAACGTGTTTTTTCCTCTGCTGTTTCTGCCGTGCTACTCTAACTTATGTCCTCTCTGTGTATGACAGGAAGTCATGTATTTTCCTGAAAGTTTTTTGTTTTGTTTTCTTTGAATAAACTTTAAAAGTAATTTTAAAACAACAATGGTGTGCCCTTCCGTCTTTGGCCTCTCTGTGATGTTTGCTCCCCAAGTACACGCACGCACATTGAAAACAGACATGTTGTAACAGGTGTTGGCCAACAGACCAAGATGGAAAACATCAGTTGCATGTATGGGGCGATTTCGACAAATGCTTTGTTTGTGGAAATTGTGCATATTGTTTTCAGACAAAATTACCATTTCCGCTCAGCTACACGATGCAATGCACTGAAAAAAAAGCTTGGATTATATTGATTGTTCCTTTATTCACGACACGGTAAAGTCCAGTTATCTTACTGGCATGTTGTAAATTCTGAATTCTTGTTGAGCTCAGCTAAAAAGGGAAGTAATAAGAAAAGGTAATTTTCTCAGAATATCTTGTGCAAGAGGATATTCATTCACACGAACAGCTTACTCTCTGAAAGATAACAGCTTTTTTAATTATTTATATTCAATTCAATTTTATTTATATAGCGCCAAGTTATGACAGTCCTCTCAAGGTGCTTTATTTTGTAAGGTAAAGGAACTACAGTAATACAGAGAAAACACAACAATCAGACAGCCCCCTACAAGCAAGCACTTGGCGACAATAGGAAGGAAGGAACCTCCTGCAGAACCAGACTCGGGTAGGGGCCGATTGGGGCTGTGTGAAAGTGTTATTTTCTGTGCAATCACGTGCACCACTCAGTGCATTTAGGCATATATCAAGATGTATTACATATCATGACTTCCTGCTGAAGCTGAACATGAATGGCAATGTTATTAATGAAGCTTATGCGCAAGTTCAATAAGGAAGATCTCAGAGGCTTTCCCACGTATACAACATTCACCCATATACTTGTTTTTATGTCCGAGTGCTTTCTGCATCACAGTAAGACACATTCACACTCTGATAATGCAGTGTTGAACTCCCATACCCAGTCACCGCAATGATGCTAAAAGTCAAAAGTGAATGTCCAGACTGTTTTGAGCCGATAGGAAGGCAATAATAATAATAATGCACTCATCTAAGAACTGGAAACTAAGACTTCAGTTCTCACGGGTTCACTAAAAGTTGAAAATTGGAAGAATGCTGGTCGGCTGAGTCTGCTGGATGGTAGGTGCATTGGTGTGGGTGATATTTTCCTGCAACACTTAGCCCAGGGGTGTCGAACTCCAGGCCTCGAGGGCTGGTGTCCTGCAGGTTTTAGATCTCACCCTGGGTCAGCACATCTGAATCAAATGATTAGTTCATTACCAGGCCTCTGGAGAACTTCAAGACATGTTGAGGTGGTAATTTAGCCATTTGAATCAGTTGTGTTGGATCAAGGACACATCTAAAACCTGCAGGACACTGGCCCTCGAGACTTGGAGTTCTACACCCCTGACTTAGCTCATGAGCACAGTGTACTCCTCGTCTGATGGCTGCTTTCAGCACAAAACTCAAATCTTCTCAACTTCACACTACTCCGGGTTTGGGGTCAGCTTTAATTTAGTTTAACTGCTCTGGCCGACTCCATGCAACCTGTAGTTTGTCTAGTCTGTCACACTGGGTGATGAAACAATGGCATTTATTGTCTGTGTCGTTTCCTGTGAGCAGCAGATTTTACAGCACACGGGGAGTCGAATCTCACCTTCTTAGATGTTTTTTTAATGTACAAATGTCAGTTTACATACTTGGTTCACAGATGGTAGCCCTGTAATAATAAATAACGGTGAAAAAATATGAAAACAATTAAACGTGTTTTTAAGCTCACTTCTTGGTTCTGCATTTGTTCTGTGCCCCCAAAAGGACGTGCTCTTTTCAGTTAAGCACGACATTGTCAATTAATATTCAGCTGATCAACAGGTTCTTAAACAGAAATTGGCCTGTTGCTGGATGTCGACTCCCTAGAAGGTGGATTTCTTAGCACCGGACAGGAAAGCCAACGTGTCAAACTGTTTAGTCATCTATCCAGTACTGCTATCTACAGATGCTGAGGCAAACTCGAAAATTCCCAAAACACGCAACATCTTCTGCTTCCTCAAAGTCCGGTCATCAAAGGAACGGCATGTTCTGTCTTGGTCTCCTTTTAACCTGCATGCGTTAAAGATACTGGCTAATTTGGATATATGCGTTTATGTGTGTGTGTGTGTGTGTGTGTGTGTGATAAAGGCCTGTGCATAGCTGTGCATTATCCGCCCCGTTCCTGTCTTCTGATACCAAGTGTGTAATAAATATTGTTATTTTTGTTGGATAAACTACTTGGAAAAGGCTACAGCAACCAAAAAAATGTGTATCTCTGGCCTACATGTCAACGCTCATACATTTGCATGCTTGCAAATTTCCTGAATGCATAAATATTACCTTAATGGGAAACTATCGTAGTTTTACACAAAATGTCACACGTGACACCGCTGCTAAAGCAGGTTTTGATAAAGGAGATGGTCGAGGATAATGAGACTCATGAGTTTGCAGGTGGAGGATTACAGGATTACACATTATATGGATACACTGGGCTAAAGTTCAAAAGGACTGTGACACAAAGTTGCCATTTTCTAGAATGTAGTCAAGTACTGTTATTTACATGTGCTGGTCTCACTTGTAATCAAATACACTGAATCTAAACAGGAACCTTTTCCTGTGTTGTGAACACTACCCTGACATGGGATTATTTCCCATCACTTCCATCACTTCAGTGTTTTCATGTCATACATACGCATACACCTACACTGGAAAATGTCCAGTCAGGATCAAAGTGAGCAATGCAGGAATAATGCGCAAGAGATGGACGCTGTATTTGCTACGCAAGGGGATGTCAGAGCAATGAGTCACTGCAATACTACGGAGCTGTGTTTTAATAATAACTGCAAAGCTGGATGCCAATTTTCTCTTCTAACGAACACAGTTTATATTTGTGGATTTTGGAAAATCTACTGCAGTGATATTTCTGCTTATAAGACTAGATGAAATAAAATAAAACTATACTGCAATTGTCTTTTGTTCTAGTTATACGGAGGGCAAGCTTTGTGGACATGTGCAGAACTTATGCATATCATTTTCTAAATGTTTGAGTAAACAAATTTGGCCGAGGGAAACAAAAAACCTCAAAATGGACGAGTTTGGATCCTTTCTTTTCTTTTTTCTTAAACAAATTACACTTTTTAAATGTAAAATAAATGTATAATTTTTAATGCAGCGTCTAAGTAGGTTTCTGTTTTTCAGTAGTATATAGTGTGACCTAATGTAAGCTTATTGTGTTAAATTGCAAACCAGTTATTAGAAAAAGCCTTTAAAACTATTTCAGTGCTAAATCCAATAACACTGCCAGGCTGATTGTCTGAGGCATCCACCTCTGAGCTAGATTATTCTCTCAAAATACATAATATAAATAAAAGGTAATACTTTATATCAGTGCCACACTGTTAAGCATTAATAATGTATTAGCAAGTACTTCATTCAGCATTTATATATCATTACACCTCCTCAGTATGCCATTTATAAATACAGATATATTCATCCATCTGTTACTGTTACACTTTGTACAGCCATGAGTGCTACACCATCACTGCTAGTAATAATCATAATCATAATAATATCTGTATTTATAAATGGCATACTGAGGAGGAGTAATGATATATAAATGATGAATAAAGTAGTTGCAAATGTCTTTGGATCCCTCGAAGAAAAGTTTATATTTCTTATAATAAGAACATTGAAATCCAGAATTCCAGTAATTTTATGACTAAAGGTTTAGATCCCAAATGAGTAACAGTTTCAGCTACGCTAACATTAAATCGTTTATCATGTCGACATCAGCAAAACTGCTGCTATTCTTGTTTCTGCTTAGTGAAATGTCAAACGCTCCCTGCTTATGTGAAGGTGTGCACGCTCACATACTGTAGAAGGTGTCGCCACAGCTGGTGAGCTGTCCTACTCCACCAGTTTAATCACAACTGTGAATAAACAAATTGCCTTATTGTGTCCAAATTGCTTAGAGCTTGTGAGAAAGAGTGGTAAGAAAGCAGAAAGGTTTTGGGGGTCTTTTAAATGACAGCTTTTCAATGAACACAGTTTTTAAAAAGTAATTTCAGAACCTCAGTGAAAGTACAAACCCCTTTATGACGGGGTGGCTAAAGGCAGCTCAATATCTCAACAGGGGGAACTGCCTGCATGGCTCCACACAGCATTGCTGGCTGTGAGTACATTGTGACGCTTGTGATGATGTGTGTTCATGTGTTAAAACAAACAGAGATGTCCATGCAGACACAAGCAGCAGCTCATTCCAGTGAGCAACAGCTGTAAACAGATGTAAGACAAGGATGCTGCCTTTAGACTCGGGAAACTGTTTGGAAATCATTATAGGTCTTTTTCCACAGTGCATCTGAGTGGGTTTGTGTATATACTGTGTGTTTGGAGTCACCAGACTAGAGTGGTGAGCTGTACATCACACTGCATTACATTGGGAAACCTGAGAAATTTCCACCTCAGAGGGGTGGGAACATTGAAAAGAGACTGCAGGTTTCCCCTGAGCCAATAGGAAACAGATCATTTGCTGCTTCAGTCCACGCTGTCACCACATCTACCTGTCACCAGTGTCACACTGCCAGGACCACCGCCACGCTCACCTTTACACCGTGAGTATACTGCATTGCTGTGTATGTAATCATAGGAAAGTAAGGTTAAGTACACGCGTGCGCCGTATTTCTATGTACACACATATGGTTGCTTATATAACAAAACTGCCTAACTATGATATATAACTTTTTAACAATAATACGCTTGTTATGTACTAATAAGTACTGAAAATTCCATTTTTTATTCTGTTTTGTCATATTTGCAACCATTTACATTGCAGGGTTTTACTGTCACAGCATGTTTACTTTAAATATTTCATTTGTTGCACAAATGTTTAAATCTACTTAGTTTGCAACAGATCGAGACTTTAAAGTTTATCCAAAACTACTATAATAAAATATTTGTATGGGTGCACTGTAGGAAAGAAATGTAAATGTTTCT